AGGAGTATAAAGGCCAGCTCATGGATGGTGAACTGAAAATGAGGAAAATTTAGGTCCTGTGTCAGTGGTTCTGAAAACCTGGCTTGTACCTCTTCTTTCTCAATGGACATACCCACGTTTGTTAGCCAATGCAACACTTCACTGCACTTGGAAGGTCTTGGAAGACAATTATTTTCTTGCCTCTCTCTTTTCAGAATCTTGTCTAACTAAATGCCAGAACTTTGTTAAGAATGGCAGCTGCTGCTGAGGACACACAGACACACAGACACACACCCATCCCAGAGTTCCCATAGGGAAGACATTTCAGTTTCAAGTTAGATAAAATACTGATATGAATTCATAAAGTTATAAATTAGTCACCAGTGAAACTTGACTGCCAATTGGAAGGCTGTTTCTGGTTTGAGGAATTAAGTCCTGGAGCATCTATCTCAACAGTGTTAGCAGAGGCCAGGGTCCTAACTGTTTTAAGCTGATGCTCAGCAATATTATGGAAAGAGGTGTATGACAGGCTAGAGGAAAGCATAGAAAGGCCAAATAGCCAATAGTTAGCTCTCGATAAGGGCAGGAAGTGTTTGCTGCTCAAGTCAGAAGCAACTTCTTAGTCCCCCTGCCTTGCTCTGAATGTATACAAACCATTTTCCAGGATCACAGTTCCTGCTCTTTCCCAGTAGCACACTATAAGCATTGCTTCTCCTCTCACTGGTGGTCCTGCTATTTGCTCCTGGAGTCTGGGCAAGGGTTTTTTTTATAGTGACTAAAAAGCTCTCCCCTGAGCTCATCAGGACCAGCAGGATCCAGGCTGAGGTAGGGAGTCTCTGGCTGTATGGGCTCACCGTGAAGTTGGTGGGAAGAGGCAAGGTTCTGGATTTCAGAAAGGCCTTTACGCTCATGTGGAACTTTCTTTGAAGGGATGCACCTGCAGGTTTTTTTTCCTCTTCTACCACCCTCCCACCCCCCCCTTCACTATAAAGTTTGCAATGGAAGATGAATAAGTTTGTATCTGCCTCCCACATTCCTTCCCTCCCTCCCCAAAGGTGCAATTTGGGATGGATTTCACTCTTAGCTATAGATGTTGGCATTGTTGCTGTGATTGCTCAGTCTCTCACCTCACTAAACTACTT